ACTCAAACTTCTGATACTACCTGCAAAGATAGTACCTTTTGATACTAACTACAAAGTTAGAGGGCATGGTTTCCATGACTTTTCTCACTTCTGACATCAACTGCAAATTTAGGGGGTTTTCAAAACCACCCTCAGCCTTGATCATGCATTTAAAGAATTCACAGAACAGGCTGAAAGCTGTAATAGTCATGGTTACTGTTTATTACCAAGAAAGGATACCAATGAAAATTATCCAAAGAAACACATAGAGAAGAGTCTAGAAGGTTTCCAAACACAAAGCTTTCCATTACCTTCAAGACATATTACCTTCCCATCACCAGTGTGTGACAATACACAAGGAGCATGACCAACCGGGGAGATTCACCCTTGTCTGCAGTGTCTAGAGTTTTTATGGGAGTTTCATATGAAAGTATTATTGACGAGCCATGGCGTTTAACTCAGCATTCAGCTCCTGACCCCAGAGGTGGGGTTGATATCATGTGGCCCAAGTGGCCACCATGCATCACCTCATTAGCATAAACTATCAAGTGTGACCTAAGAGGCCACTGTAAATAAAAAAGACATTCCTGGCACTTGGAAAATTCCAAGAATTTAGAGGTTGCCTCCCAGGAGCCGGGAACCAAGGCCAGACCTCTCTTTGAGCAAAGCAAGTTCTTTACTACACATTGTCCACCTATTTTTGCCTCACAGAAATGCCTTACAAAGACTGAAAAATAAAAATAGTAGCTATATTGAGAGTATATTAGCTGCCACTATACATTTATTTTTGTCTAATTCTTAAAACCCTATAAAGTTGGTGTTGTTAATCCCATTTTACAGATAAGAAAATTGAGGCTCAGAAAAGTTGCCACCGCAAAAAAGAAAAGTTGCCCAAAGTTTTAGAGAGGGAAAGTAACAGATGTGACCATGGTGACACAGCATACCATTTGGACTATTATATCCATGTTGCCAATTACCTTCACTCATTCATTCTACAAACATTTATTTTATGTCTACTAGGTACCAGAAACTGTTCTAGGTGTTGGAGATATAGCAAAGAACAAAACAGACAAGAATTACTGCTCAAATGGAGGAGATATTCTAATGGGAGGGAAACAGAAAATTAGCAAATAAATAAGCAAAATACATAGTATTTTGAATGGTGATATTACTATGGAAAAAGTAAAGCAACATGTGCACCTTGTTTAGACCTTTATTTAAACATATCAACAGTCACAAGACATCTTTGAGACAAACAGGAAATTTGAATATGGACTGATGTTATGTGATACTATTAATTTTGTTAGACTGGACGACAGACGGCATGATGCCTATGTTCCAAAAAACAAATATTTGTCTGTTAAGTATTTAGACTGATATATTTATGAATAAAATTAGATTGCAAAATGTGTTGATAATTATTGATGCTAGATGATATATATGTGAAGGGCCTTTAAACTAACATTTCTAATTTGGGGTATGCGTAAAAATTTCCAGAACACAAAGATTTTAGAAAAGAAAGAAAGCAATGGATGGTGGTGGCAGATAGGTCTTGCTACACAGCTTGCAAGACCACATAGGTATATTGGAGAAGACCTTGCTAAGAAGATGACCTGAAACAAATGTTTGAAGGAGGCAGGGGACGGGACTATGAGGCTCTCTAGGAAAAGAACATTCAAGGCAGAAGTAGGAGCTAGCACAGAGCACTGAGGTGGCAGTGTGACTGGGAGGGCATGTTCAAAGGAAGAAGTCCATTTGCTAGAAAGGTAGGAGGTGGCATCAAAGAGTTAACAGAGATGGGATGCATTGAGAGGAGAGGAACTAGATGCATGGCCATATCCAGCCAAGAATTCATACCAAAAAATGAAGATCACCTACAAACCAATAAGGAAAATGCAGGTAACCCAACAGAAAAATGGGCAAAACACTGGAACAAGCAGTTCACAGAGAAGGAAATGGCCAATAAGCCTCTGATGCTTATTGAAGCAGGTGCTCTACTTTATTTATCATCAAGAAAATGCAAATTAAAACCACAATGCTACGCCATCACAAACCCACAGAAAGGTTAAAATTAAAAGGCAGGCAATACTAGGAATTAGTATTGAGGACATGTAAACTGGAACAAATTGCAGTCTAGTAAAACTAAACCTATGCATGTCTTTTAAGCAATCAATTCCATTTCTAGGTATATGGCCAACAGAAAGCCATGTAAATGTTCACCAAAGACTGAAACAAGAATGCTCAGAGCAGCATTATTCTTAAAAAGCTGAGAACTACCCAAATGCCTAGTAACAGCAAAATGGATAAACGGGCTACAAAAAGCATCTAAATAACAAAATAAGCCATATATATGAATCTCACAAAAATAGTGAGCAAAGGAAGCAGACACAAAGAATACTGTGATTCCATTTATGTAAAGTTCAAAAACAAGCAAAACTAATCTATGCTGTTAGAGGACAGATTGTTGGAGAAAGTGACTGAAGAGGAGGACGGAGAGTTGGGGAAGAGCTGATAACATCCTGCTTCCTGATCTGGATGCTAGTTAAGCACATGCATTCAATTTGTGAACAGCTACCAGGCAGCACACTGATGACGTGTGCGCTCTTCTGTAGATTATGCTTCAATAAAATGTTTTTTGAAAATCACATAGGGCCATCTTGGTTTCATCCTCCAAGGGAGTAGTGATATGTCCAACATTCCCCATCCTATGCTGGAATAAAAGCAACACAGGGCATGGGGATTGTTGCCTGAAGATGAGTAGGAGATGAGCCTTCTCAGCTTACAGCTGCAACCTCTTTGGTTAAAGACGCAGAAACTGACATGGCAAGTTCTCTACTCCCAAGAAATGAGGCAAAACCGTAAAGAAATGAAAATATGATGACAGCCACCTTCCCCTCAGCATTACAGGTGTTGATAAGGCACCTTATTGTATCTTATCCAATAGAATATTTTTATACAAGATCATGCCAGTTAAGTTGTGGCATCATTTTGAGACCAATTGCTCAGAGTTTAAGAAAAAGAGATTGAATGTTGCTAAGTGTAGACACTATGAACTCTTCAAGACCTAAAAATTATTACAGCTTTTCAAACTAGATATGAAACGGCCAATGGATCATCCTGCATGTTTTAATTTCTAATACAATAAATACTGATTTCTGTAACCTACATAAACAAAAGGCTCTTTGGGTCCTCAATTTTCTTGAAGAGTAAAGGATCTTGAGACCAAAGGGAGTAAATCACTGTGGATGATTGTCGGCCACACTGGGTTCATTTCTTCCTATGACCTCATACGGAATTATTTTTTTGGAATTCCAGCAACCAACTAAATTTCTGTCTAGGCCTAGGTTACCATTCCTACTAGCTCAGGAAGCTGCTTTTCAGTGACCTTGAAACATTAAACAACCTTAGCTTTTTCCTCCTCAGCCTTGTGAGTTTTCTTTTTTATTAGTTTTTCCGGTTTTTTTCCTATTCTTTTTTCCTCATTCTTATTTCTTTTTATTCTTTTATTTCTACTTTTCTCAGTTTATTTTTCCTTTTACTTCATTTTTGCTTTTTAAGTTCGTTTGTATTTGTTCAGTTTGGATTTTGGGTTTGGCGTGGGGGAGGGGGGATTTCTGGGATTGCATTTTGATTCCATTACAAGGATCAGTTCCTCAGGAGAACTTTGACCTGGTTTTCTTTTGAGGTGAGCTGGACCAAGCTTCTCACCAGCTTTTCCCAAATGTAAGCTGACCTTAGGACACCTTGCCTCCAGGTGCAGCCGTAAGTCCAGCATGGCTGCGGGGCCTCTGCTGCGGAGGGACTCAGACACCGGTCTCCTCAAGCCACTGGCAAGGGTAACGGGGCTGTGGTGAGGTCGGCCCAGCACATCCTGCCCGGGAAAACGATGGCCGTGACGATCACTGACGAGACTCCACAGAACTGCCCCAGCCTCCAGAGACTATACCCGGCAAAGCGGGAATCCTGAAGGCGCAGCACAGCGAAACACTGGAAGTGACCGGGGCTGAGGTAACGCCCGGCCTTGCGATGGCTCATGGCAGTAGGAACGAGAAGGGGCTGAGGGCCAATTCCATCACGTAGTGTCTTCTGTGCCAACTGTGGCCAGGGCTGCGCTGTCCATGGCGACTTCAAGGCAGAAAACCTGCCCTCAGAGGCCGGTATGAGTACCGCAATTGCAAACTCTGGCTTCAGCCACAAATTCACCTTTCCCGACAAGCTGGACGCCTTCTGGGGCAGCCCCGCTTCGTGCCGCCGCCAGCTCTTCCAGGGGAGAAGCAGAGGGAGTCACCCAACACACACTGCTCAACACAGTCCCGCCTTTTGAGGGACGGAACTCCCAGGAGCTATGGGAGCGGCGCCCAGCAGAACAGATCACAGTCCGTGCCCGGCGTCGGAGGAAGGTGGAAACCTGCTTGAGAAATTGCCCGTTCCCACCCAGTAAGGGGGGCGGGTGGGGGACACTAGGAAGGCCCCCTGAGTCACTGTGCGTCATGGATCTGAGGCCCCAAGGCCCAGGTGGAGCCAGCCGCCCTGTGACGACAAGGACCTGGGCAGACTGAACTCGGGGGCCCCCTGGGTCACACACGGAAGGAGAGACCCAGGACCCACTCGCAGGCCAGAAATGCAGGGAGCAATGGCCACATGTCTGCTCCTGAGTTATGAGAGGCCCGAGGGCCAGCCACGCCCTGAAGCCTGAGCCTCCAGCCGACTTAACCAGCAGCAGCTGCGTTCCCTACCTCCAAGGGACACACCGGGGTCTCTGCCAACCGGCCTGAGGGGAAGACCACCCTGTCCCGCCTGCCCCATCACCAGCCTCCCCACCAGCACCACTCAGAGCAGGAATTCCTCACGTCGGGGGAGCGGCCGGGCCAGGCCTCCATGCAGATCGGCAAAGACAACCCCCGCCAGCCAGGGTCCCCAGCGCTTTGCTTCCGCCACGGTCCCCAGGGCCCTTGCAGGAACCCAAGGCCCAGACGGGCCTCTGGGCGGCGCCCTTGCAGAGTCCCCGCGAGGAGCCACCGTCCAGCACGCCCCGCCCCCCCAGCAGGTGTCTGTGGCCTCCCCTCTACCCACACTGTCGCAGGGGCGGTGGAGTCCCCGGTGTCCACAGGGAACGCCCCACGCGGAGCAGCCCGGCGGGGACCAGACCCAGAGCCTCCGCCCTACGTGCCCGCAGGGGGCCCCTGGGGGCGTCGTCGAGAAGGTCCAGTTCAAATCTCCGGGAGGAACCTTCGTCCGAGGTGGCCGGTTGGAGCCTGAATGAACCTGAAAGCAAAGACAGAGGAAAGACCCCCTGGCTCCCGGGGCGGCCGCGGAGCCGGTGACAGCGCGGGAAGGACCCGCAGCCCCCTGCGCGGCAGGTGCAGGACGGAGGGGACAGAAGTGACAGCTCCGCGGGGCCCCGAGCTGCTTCGGGAGGCGGCCCCCGGGACCAGGGGGGACGGCCACGCCGCAGCCTGGCGACACTGCTCCTCGGCCGCGTCGTCCCTGCCGCCCTGCGCGGAGGGCGGCCGGCCCCGCAGGGGGACAGACACGGCGCCTGAGGCTTCGGGAGCCCGGCTGGGCGGCCCGGTCGCCACCCTCACTGCGTGTGGCGGCGGCTCCAGCAGCCGGGGCAGGGGGGCCTCCCGGCGCAAAGGGGAGTCTCCACTGTGCGCGCTGATCCGAGGGCTTTCCTGCGGGCAGCCAGGGCTGAGACCCTCTCAGGGCCTCCCCGGCCCCCTTCCGCTCCCACCCTGTTCTCCCCCTCTTCCCTCCACGCAAAGCACCAGCCGGTCAGGCCCGACCTCGGTGGGGGGTGGGGGGCTGCCACTGCTCTGGGGCTGCAGAGGTGGGGGAGGAGGGTGTACCCTCCGCCCGCCCTCCTTCCCCAGAGCTGGGCGCTTCTCCACCAGGCGCTGGGAAAGGAGTACTTGTCCCCTTCCTCAAGTCTGCACCATCACCACCCCCTCCTCCTCCAGGGCTTGGAGTGTGGAGAGGACCATAGGGCTCCTCTAGGGTCCCCTAGGCTGTTTGTCTCCTTAGTGACAGGGACGCTGAGCATGCTCCATTCTAGAGGAGACTGTCTGGAAGCACCCACTGCCCATCACCCTCTTCCCCTTGGTTTGCACTGATCCGCACACCACCTAGTTCCACCACAATGACCTGGTCCCACGCCACCCTCCTACCTCATCCGTCTGTCTCCCTAGCTGTCCCTCCCTGACAATGTGGCCCATCCTTGGGCTGCGGGCAGGTAGGCCAAAGAGGCTCCCTGTCTGCCAACCTCACTGCTGGTGTGGGAACGGATGGTTATGGGGACCGGCCAGTGATGGCTGCGGCCCTCAATTTGTTTCTCTGCTGTTTCTGTCCTTGAGAAATAAGGCTCAGATCTAGGGCTCCCCTTGCCTGCACTGCCTAGTCCTGGAGGGCATGGCTTGGCTCCTGAGGGGGCTGGGGGCCAGGGGCACCCCGGCCAGGGCCCCAACCCACCCAGCATCCCTCCAGCACTTAGTGTCTCCTGAGGATCAAGCAGAAACTAAAAAGACTATTTGGGTGGGGAAAGGACTCTTATAAGACTTTTAATCTGAGAGGAATGGGGAGACATTAGAGTTTTCACAGAGGATTGACATAAGCTGGCTGATGTTTCAGCAGGATCTCTGTGTTTGGGAAAGTGTTTAGGGGGCCAGGGCAGAAGGCGGGAAACACCAGGAAATACTGCCATGATCCAGGCGAGTGCCCATGGTGGATTGCACCAGGGTCATGGAAGCGGAGGCGAAGAGGAGCGCGTCCCTGTGACTGGCAGCCTGTACCTGCTGAGTTAGCCCTCGGGGCTTGATTTCCCAGAGGCCTCCTGCAGGGCTGTCTGCCTCCCAGGCCCAGGATGGCCTTCCATCCTCTCCCTTCTCTTCTCCCAGTCCCCCTCCTCCAGCTAATATCAGAAGAGCCAAGTAGCAGAGGCCAAAAGAAGTAATCGAAGATGCAAACTGCTAAGTACAGAGCTGAAGGAGACATAACACAGAGGAAGAGGAGGCCCCTCAGTTCATGGTCTCAGTTGTAAGCAATAGAAACCAACTCAGATTGGTTCTGGCAGACAGGGAATCTATGATCATGATACTGAGCAGATCACCAAATTGCCCATGTGCCTGGAGAGCCAGGTTCTACGAAACACAGGATCAATGCCCACTACCGTATGGCACGGCTCAGCAGGTGTGGACATCCCTACAACCACCGGCAAGGAAAAGACTCTATAGCTTGTGCCATCCACCCCTCTAGCACTGCACCCAGCTTGCCACTCCAGCCCCACGGCCACGACTGCCCTAGGAACCCAATCCTCCCAGTACCTACCTCTTTGAGTCACTGGCTCCTGCTTCCAAGTCTATGCAAGTCATCTGACCAGGCTGTAGCTGCAAGGGAATCTAGGGAAGGAAGCATCTGTCATTTTCCTCTCCCATCAGGGTGGGGGGCACCCTCTGTATCCCACTATTGGTAATCAGATTGGGGAAACACCAAACATACAAGGGATAGCAGATGCTAAGCAGACTCAATATACACACAATTGTCCATAAGAAAAAGTGTATCAGGGGCACCTGGGTGGCTCTGTCGGTTAAGCATCTGACTTCGGCTCAGGTCATAACCTCACAGTTCGTTGGTTTAAGCCCCACGTTGGGCTCTGTGCTGACAGCTAGCTCAGAGCCTAGAGCCTGTTTCAGATTCTGTGTCTCCCTCTCTCTCTGACCCTCCCCTGCTCACACTGTCTCTCTCTCTCTCTCTCTCAAAAATAATTAAACAAAAAAAAAATTTTTTTTAAAGTATATCAGATGGGGACCAGCAAGTGTCCAATAATTATGAGATTACCAGACTGATTTCCCTCTGTGGCTAATCCATACTACCAGAAGGAAAATCCAAGAGAAAAATTATTTAAATGTCCCATTCTTTTAGCAAGTAATTTAAACTCCTGAGAAATTTAGTTAACAGTCATTTGGATATTTGTTTGAATATTATTGACAATGTGTTAGAATTTTCATTTTAAAAATGTTGGGAGGGGTGCGCCTGGGTGGCTCAGTTGGTTAAGCATCCCAGTTCGACTCAGGTCATGATCTCACAGTTCGTGGGTTCGAGCCCTGCGTCAGGCTATCTATGCTGACAGCTACCTCAGAGCCTGGAGCCTGTTTCAGATTCTGTATCTCTCTCTCTCTCTCTCTCTCTCTCTCTCACCCTCCCCTGCTCACGCTGTCTCTATCTGACTCTCAAAAATAAATTTAAAAAAATTAAAAATTTTTGAAAAAAAGTGTTTGGGAGTACCTGGGTGGTTCAGTCAGTTAAGCATCCAACTCTTCTGATTTCTGCTCAGGTCATGATCTCATGGTTATGAGATCGAGCCTCACATCCAGCTCCATCATGGTGCGCATGGAACCTACTTAAGATTCTCTCTTTCCCTCATCCGCTCCCAGTCCTCCGCTCATCTGCATACTCTCCCTCTCTCTCTCTCTCTAAAAAAGTATGATTTAGTTGTATCTGTACATGCATACAGATATATATATAGAGAGAGAGAGAATATCAGAACCCTGATAATACCTTTTAACACCCACCTAGATCCAGCTATATCTAGAGCTGAGTAAACTTTTAGAATTCCCAGGAATTCTAAAAAATTAATTACCTTTTGGGTTTCAGTTAGTTTGAGATGAGTTTCTGTCACTTGTACAAGAAACTCTAGAATAAAAAATATATGTACTTAAATATTATTGTAAATAATAATGCATTTATATATTTATAATCATATAACATGATAATATATTAATAATTTCTAATAATAATTATAAAGAATAAGTATTATTGACACTTAACATTAGTTGATTTTATTAGTTTGGACTACAGACATAAATAGACATATAAGAGAACCTTAAATAAAATGAGTACATGGGGTAATAAAAACTTAAGTGATTATAGACTTATTTTTTATAACCCACCTATCTAGAGCTATGACAAATTTTATATTTTTAAATTTCCCATCGCTTTTATAGTTTCATTTTTCCTAATGTGTGTAGGCGGGCCATAGGCATGTTTAACAAAAAGAAGAAAGAGGTCCTGATGTATTCTGAAAAAGGTATTTTTAAGTGCCAAGCAAGACAGATTCTATTATTCCTGGAAAGGAAGTTGCTTTGACATAGATTTAATGTCAGTGTGTGAAAGAAAGAATAGATTTTAAAACTTAAGCTATTTATAACATATGTGGGGGAAATGAGTACGGAAGATTAAATTTGTGATTTAAATATAGTAATCACATAAAATTAAGGCTCAACTAGGCATCCAAGTCTAGCGCTGAGGCCCTGTTCTCCTCAATACGCACACACACGGCAAAATAGTTACTCTGCTCTAAGGGTTCTGGGGCACTAGATACACTTAAATAATGCAGTAAAATGTAAGCATTTTGAGACACTTCCCAGCAATCATCAGAAAATGGACATGGACATTTACCTCCTAGACCGCCTATAACTCTACTGAAGTACAGTAAAGCGATTAGACTAAAAGATCAAACCACAAGGGTAAAGAGGAGGGGCAAGGAGACAACAGCAATAACAATTTGGAAGCAAGAGGTGGGAGTAGTGACTTTTTAGCAAGCGTGAGGAAGAGAAAGCCCATGCCAGCAGCGGCAGAGATCCTGTGAGCAAGCTCCTTCCTGCTTCGGGCCCCTCTCAGGCTCTGAACGGGAGGCATCAGGGACCCTGGGGGTGGGGCGGGTGAGGGGGGAAGACAGGTGGTTGAAACGTCAGGGGAGTCCCTGGAAGTGTGAATACAGAGTGGTTAGAAGGCCATATCTGCTCCCCACCGACAGAAGACTAAAGGTTTACTCTCGGGAGACGGTTCCGTTCATCAAAGAAAACTCTGGACTTGGGGACCCCAGTTCCCCATGTAGGCAGGAAGCCGAGCTGAAAACAGGAACAAGTGAGCATCAAACGGTGACACCTCCTTGGCCCCCTTGTCCATTAGCTCCCTGAATATAGTAGTTAATTTAGTATGTTTTCAGGCTACCTTTACTTTCTTCTAAATATATTTGTTTTTAATGCCTACCATAAGTATGTATTTGTATATACTGAAACACAATTTAGGAGGTGAATTATTTCCAACCTATACTCCTAGCCACACTATCAATCTTTTATGATAGATTGGAGGATTGATCTGACATGCAAATTTATCTCCCAAATACCGTTTATCAGGTGCCTTCTGAAATGTACTTGACTGAAATGGGGGAAAATAAGAGGGGGGTAAGGGGGTTGACATGAAATCTCAGAAAATAGAGGACCCAATATATGAGAGAAATGAACAGAATTTTCAGGAAGAAGGTAAAGGGAGATGTCAGGATCTAGAGAACAAGGAGATTGGAGAAAGTGACATCAGGGCTCTTGGAGTGATGGACACCCCTCAGCAGGGCCAACTTACCCATGAGGCACACTAGACCCAGTACCTCGGGCCCATGATACATTTAGGGATTTTCAAAAATTCTTTTTAGTTTCCCTAAAATCAAGAGCAAAATTTAAGAACAGGGACTACAAAATAATGAATCCAACCTGGATTATATTCATCTTTATCCCAACACAGCTATAAAATGTAATTTTTATTATTTCTTATAGAAGAAGGAGCTTGTGATGGCAAAACTGCCTAGGACCTACAAAAGTAGTAACGTGGCCCTGACCTCCCGGGGGTAAAAAAGAAAAAAAAAAAATTGGACAGCTTTATTTCAACATATGAAAAGGTAGTTTAGACAGAATGGGTTAGTGATAGGTACACAGAAAAAAACTAAGCAAAGAAAAATCAAGACGACACATAGTAAAGGAAAAACAAGGACTACAAGGAGATGTAATCCTAATATATGTAAGATCAGCATGAAAAATACATTGTCAAAATAGACACTGAAAGCTGATGTAATAAAATACATAGCTCTAGATCAGGAAAATGAGAAAAGGGAAGAAATGTGCCCAGTAGTAGGAGAGCCAATTCCTCATCTTCTCTAGTAGGAAGGAAATAGAAAATACATAAATTTAAAAATTAAGAAGTGTATTAGAGGGTGGGGCACATGGGTGGCTCAGTAGATTGAGCCTCCCACTTTGGCTCCGGTCATGATCTCATGGTTCGGTTCATGAATTTGAGCCCCACATTGGGCTCTGTGCTGTCAGCGCAGATCCTGCTTTAGATCCTCTTTCCTGCTCTTTCTTCCCCTTCCCCGCTTGTGCTCTCTTTCTCTCGCTCTCTCAAATATAAACATTTAAAAATGAATAAATAAGGGCGCCTGGGTGACTCAGCCAGTTAAGCATACGACTCGGCTCAGGTCATGATCTCATGGTTCGTGGGTTCGAGCCCCACGTCAGGCTCTGTGCTGACAGCTCAGAGCCTGGAGCCTGTTTCAGATTCTGTATCTCTGTCTCTCTCTGACCCTCCTCTGCTCACGCTGCCTCTCTCTCAGAAATAAATAAAACATTTAAAATTTTTTAAATGAATAAATAAATTCATTACAACTGTCCAGCATGTGCATTCCACAATGGTGTCCTATCTACTTATCCATGAATGTTGGAGCTATGTGATTTTAAAAAGGAGAAAAAAAAAAGAAAGAAATTGGCAAACATACTCTTAGCCAAAACAAAATCAAAGGAAATGGTTCTCTCAGACACAAATCACAAACTTAGATATGCATAAAATATGTTTTTAAAAGTCCGTGTCACTTTATAGAAGTAGGGGGAAATATTCTGCTGACTATAGCATATTGAAGACAACAAAAATCCATGCAAATCCAGGAGTTATGATGAAGGTATGGATGAGCAGTGAGGTACAAGCCAAAATGTTTCAGACCCCCCCCCCCATAGCGCGTGAGGCAATCTGGCACTTCTCAGGCACTGGCATGAGTTTAGAGGCCCAGGATACCTTCAAATGCTGCACGAATATTAAAAAATAGTTTTCCCTAATAAACTTTCTAAGCCAGATATTGAAAACAAGTTGTTCATGTACCTTCTCAGGCCACACCCTCTTATTTGAGAATCTGAGTAGTAGATAAATAATATTTAGAGCTATCACTTATTGTGAGCTTATTAAGGGCCAAGTACATGCTTTAGGTCCTTTACTAGGTCAACACAGATTTATTTAATGTCTTCTGAGGCTGTAGTTGTGAACAAAACAGAACCTTGCCTACCTTCCCAGAGTTTCTGGTCTGTTAGCTTATAAAATGAGACCTCACACATGATGGGAGGAGATAAGGAAGGAAAGTCCAGACTGAGGGGAAAGTGAAGCAGAGAAAAGTCACTGTTCAGGCCTCCTGAAGTAGTCACGTGAAGGGAAACTGAGAACTTGCAGAGAAATCATGGGAATGGCACATCCAGCTGTAAGAATGAGACGCAGGTGGGAGTTGGTGCAGAAGCTATTGCCTCTGCATTATATGGTGGGCTTGGGGTTGCCAATGGTCGACGGGGCAGGTGGGGAGGAAAAAGAGCCAGTGGCAAGACAGAGGAGGGCAAGGACAAGCTTAGAACCCTAGACCAGCACATATACCTGCCTCTCACTGCCTCTAAGCACTACTTGGAGGGAATAATGGTGGCTGCTTCACTTCCACGTCCAGAGCTTGCACATGGATCTCTTTTGGCCAACTCCAACATACAACCATAAAGGAAATGTCACTCCAGTTTAGGCCATTGACACCATCCCAACCAGTGCTACACTACCTCTCTTCAAATAGGAATCCTACTCACCTCTTTTAACTATACTGAACTTTGTATAGCAAAGTCTGGCTTACACCTAACCTGATGCAGTTATTCCTGGTACAACCAAAAACACCCTAACCCTCCCCCAAAAAGGATATAAAGTCCAGTATGTCACTTTATCTTTGGGGAATGCCCATTCCTTTTCTTGCTAAATGACGCCCCTTTTATAGCCTGAGAGAGACGTTGAACTACTACTAACCCATTTCATGTTCAGTAGGAGGAGAATGGGGAGGTGAAAAAAAAGAGTTGATATAATTTGCAAGGTTGGTACCCAAAATAGGAACCAACCCTTCTTCTGGAATTATCGAATGGTTTCTGATGGAAGTTCAGAGCGTGACTGGCTTTCTAGATGGCGGTTTGGTAACGTACCATTGTCCTTAACGGCCGCGAAGGGCGCACGCGGAGAGACTGCGGATGGGCGGGGTCCCCGCCTCATCCCTGCCGCCGCCAGCCTCTCCCCGATGTACTTGAGCGGAGCTGCAGATTCCCCAGCTCCAGGGACTCTCTCTCGTTGAAGCGCCAGGAACGACTTCTACACTACAACCTACAAGCTTTCTTTCCAGAACTTTAGCCTAATAAAATTACCATAAATGAGTAGCTTACTGTGGTTTTTAAAATTGGAAATAATCTAAACACCCAACAGTAAGGGGGTTGATTAAATAAATTATTGTACTTCCAAGTAGCAAAATCATAATGCAGCCATTAAAAATAATATTTTTTAAATATTGAATGATAAAGAACGGTTTCTATTAAGTGGGAATAAAGACAGACACCTAAATTATATGCACGGTATGAACACATTTTTGTAAAATTATGTATGCAAAGGAAAATAAGGTTGAAAGTACCAAGGTACCTATATTGAACTAGCATAATAAGTCACTAATAATCAAATCAGTTTACAGAAAGGAATTTACTATGAGGAAAGAAATAAACTGAAGAAAATATTTGCCAAACATAATAGGTAATCTCTTATAATAGATAACTGATTTTTTTCAAATCAATAAAGATTAGCAATCCAATAGAAAAATGGTATTTAGAAAATAAAACATTTTTTTTTAAAGCAAGCTTCATGCCCAGCGTGGAGCCCAACACAGGCCTTGAGCTCAGGACCTTGAGATCAAGTCTGAGCTGAGATCAAGAGTCAGAAGTTTAACCAACTGAGCCCCCCAGGCACCCCAAAATAAAGCTGATTTTTAAAGGTATGAAGTGTTTGACCTCAACCACAGTAAGAAAAAAGCAAATTGAAACCAAACCCAAGTACCATTTTTCAATATATAGTCTTGGCAATGACAGAAAGTTTAACACACTGAATTGTCAAGAGTATAGGAAAACAGACACTTTGATATATTGCTGGTGGTAGTACAAATTGCTAAAACCTCCATGAAGTGAAATTGGCAACTCAAAATTTTGAATGCATGTGTCTTTGAATACAACAATTTTCCTTAAAGGAATTTACTCCCTGGTTGTATTCGATCATGTGGTAGTAGCATATGTGGAAGGACATGCACTACAGACTTTTTCATAATAGGCAAAAACTAGAAACAATTTAGGGACTCGTTAAATTATGAGTCAGCCAGACAATGGAATATTCTGTGACAGCTAAAAATAGTAAGGTCCCTCTTAATGTGCTTATATGGAAAAATCTCCAAGATATATTACATGAAAAATTCAAGTATATAATGGTGTGATTGAACCCTCCTATTTTGTAAAAATAAAATAAAAGTTGTGTGTATGCATATGAATGTATGATCTGTGTAAACTTCCATGTGGCTGTGTGGCCATAGACCGTCTCTGGAATGGTACAACGAAATAAGTGATAAACTGCTTTCCTATAATTTTGAGGGCAGGGTAGACAAGCTTCCAACAGCTAGTTAATTCTTATGCTTTGCCTCCAACTTGCCCCTCCTTTCATTTCTTCATTTCCAAAAAGGTACTACCACTTAGCACACTGATTATGTTTTTTTAAAAAATGGGAATTGGGTTTGTTTCCTCTCTTTTCGTCATCCACTCTCCCCGCTAAATCACTCAACAAATCCCACAATTTTACCTCCAAAACATATCTCAGTTTTGTCTACTTCTATGGCAGAAGATGCTGGTTATCTCCAATGTTTGTTGTTCCCTTTTCCTTAGTCACAGAATCCTGGCTTTTCAACTAGTCCTTTAGTTGCCCAGAATAACCTTGCCGAGAATAATCATCTAATTTCTCAACTCTCCTTGCGACCACATGGGGCCATGTGACTAAGTTCGGTTGAATGAACTGTAACTAAAAGTATCATGTTTAATTTCTAGAAAGGCCCTCAAAGAAAAGAGACATACCATTTTCTCCCTTCCTCATTCACGTTGGCTGGATTGAAAACATCACTGGGGTTAAAGCAGCCATCTTCGACCAGGAGGCAGAAGTCACATGTTGACACACAGATGGAAACATCTGGTACCTGCTATATGTGAGACCACCAAACTACTTCTAGGCTGACTATGTGCATTCTTCGATTATGTGAGAGAGAAATAAACACATATATGCCCAAGCCATCCTAATATGGGACTTTCTGTCACAGCTACTCCTAATCCCAAATGATAAACTGTCTCTCCATTTCAACTATCAATGCTTTGGTCCAAGCCCAACACATCTCACTTGAACTACTGCAACAGCATCCTGACCCTTCCAGCCACATCCAATATTGACCTCTCTCTCTGCTCAATTCTATACACTGCAACCAGAGCCTACTTAAGATTCTATTTCTCTCAGAGCGCCTAGGTGGCTCAGATGGTTCGGTGCCTTACAAAAATATATACATGATTAAATCACTCCTTTGTTTACAATACTTTAATGAATTCCCATTGGTTTTAGGACAAGTTTGAAATTTTCAGGATGATCTATTCAGTCTGGCCGATAAAATTTCAGTTCCTCCCTTGCTACTTTTTCATCTCACTCTCTGGGCTTCAGTCACATTAAAGCATAACATATTCTGTGCTCTCCACTGTTGTGCTCAGTTTAAATCTTTTCTCTCCAGTCTCTGCTGCCTAACTAATTCCTAGTAATCTTCCAGGTCATCGATAAAATGTTAACTTCCTCAAGAATCATAGTGAAAAGCCATTACCGTACTTCTTCATGATGTCTTGCACTTTTCTTTATGGTCCTTATCTCATTTCGACCTGCATAAGTATTTGTGCAATGATTCATTTCATGTAGAGGTTTCAAATGGTGTGTATGGGTCTAATGTGTCTGCAGTGCATTCCATGGCCTATGCAGTTGTTAGGGTTGTTTGGTTCGTTTTCATTAAATTTAAAGAACTTTAGTGAGTATATCCTCTTTTGGGTTTGCAACAGGTTCTATGAGTTCATGTCATTTGACCAACTTAAGTCCCTTTCTTGTGTCCTCTAGACCTTTGTATTTTTGGCCTGTCTTACCCACTACAGCAGAGACTCTGTTAACATAAGGACAATGCCCGTCTTCCACAATATTCTATGTGCTCCACCTTAACACACTTGGGACATATTAAGGTGCCATAGAAATCCTTGTCCAATAAATGAAAGCAATGAATGAAATGCCCTTGCCACCATTAGTAAGAAGCTTTTTCTTCCCTTGGGCTTTTTTTTTTTTTTTAATACCAGACATCATAGGGAGATAAATGTGGAGAAGTATCCATTTGATACTATTGCACACCAAATTTTGAACAAATTTAGTACAAGATTCTGAACTGTAAAGCAAAGTTTCACCCTCTTTTCTACTAATGGACTAAATAGACAGTAAAATCATGTATTTATCTTTTTGGAAGTTTTGATACAAAAACATTCTATCTGGACCATTCCAGCTCTGCTCTCAAGGCGTGAGGCACCTCGCTGTGCAACCCCGATTCCCTGTTGGCTTTTTAAAACTCAAGACGCTCCAACATGTATGTGTATATAGTCTGTCCTTACCAATGGCAACCCCAAAAATAAATCCACATCACATTGCTGAAAATTCTTATCATATCACACACAGTATATTAGTATAACTCAGAAATATTTCATTTTTGTCAATAATTAAAAATAAAGATACAAAATAACAATCCCTCTTCTGTCCAGATGCTTAATTTTTATGTTTTATATTTCCTTATCCCTTGAAATGGCAACAGTTTGAGGCTTTTTTTTTTATTCATTAGGTTATGAAAGCCAGAGACTCTGCTAAAGCTCTGGGCCTCCCACAGTTTGACCAAGAACATGGGGGCCGAGTTACTTCTAAAAATTAAATTCCAGGTTCCTTACTCCTACACATCATTATACATTTTCATTACTTTGAAAATTACTTCTTATCCCTTCATACACACACACACACACACACACACACACACTTTGTTTCACTTGATGAAAACTACAGTCTTAATATACCTAAGAATTTAGAGGTATCTAAACTCTAGATGAAAATACTAGAATCCTTTTTTGAATTTTCACTTGTACCAAATGAACACAAAAAAGACAGAGTGAAAGAGAGAAAAAAATCAGTTAATCTTAAAATATAATGTTCAAAATTGACATTTAAAATAGAATATAAGGGTGTCTGGGTGGCTCAGTCGGTTGAGCATCCGATCCTTGAGTTTTGGCTCAGGTCATGATCCAGGATTGTGGGATTGAGCCCCGTGTTGTATTCTACGCTGCACACAGAGCCTGCTTAAGATTCTCTTTCTCTTGGGGAACCTGGGTGGCTCAGTTGGTAGGGCATCCAACTGTGGCTCAGGTCATAATCTCACAGCCTGTGGATTTGAGTCCTGGGTCAGACTCTGTGCTGACAACTCAGAGCTTGGAGCCCACTTTGGATTCTGTGTCTCTGTCACTCTCTGCCTCTACCCTGCTTATGCTCTGTTTCTCTCAAAAAGAAACACTTTAAAAAAAATTTTTTTTATTTTAAAAATTTTCTTCTTCTGTCCCCTCCTCCCTCAAATAAAAATAAATAAAATAAAATATAGTTTACTTAACAAAGATATGGATGGAAAATGTTTCCATAAGCAAAACAGTAAGAATATTTATTTTCTGCTATTAAAACAAAGTAAATCCACTGATGTTAATGAAAGTCAATCATAAGCTTGACAAAAGTGATGTCATGAGGTTTTTTAAATCAATTTAATATCTTACCAAGTATGTAAACCAAAACATCAGACCACTAAATTCATTCTGTGTTTGTTCAAGTAGCTAAATGCTTTGGTGCAACATTATATATTTTCCTATTTTTCTTCCTCTGCCTTCTACGTATCATTCTTAGTTGAATTGATTTGAAGACCAAAAGCAATCACCTCCTCTAACTCAACTCTCCATTTT